CCCCCGAGGTACTTGCGCTCCTTGAGGCGGCCACAAGTGTAGGATTGGTTTGCGTAGGCTTGACGTTCACTGCTATTAGCGACACCCAGTATAGATGGAACATTGAAGGGATTCGGTAGAGGGTTGGAGAAAGTGTTTTTTTGCGCCAAAACATAGACACGTTCCGTTGTTCGCCAACCACATCAAGCGCGTGTCATTCTTACCGCACCCCTTCTGTTCTTCAACCCTAACCCCGCCGTTCACAATCCCGAATGTGCTGCGCGGCGATTTACATAATTCGTAACGATCATCCCCCGAACCCCCCGTGTGACCATGTTGGGCCAAACAACCAACACCCCGCGCAGCGTGATGAGCTTTTTCGGACGGGCAAGGCTCCGCAGATATTTTACGGCGCGAAGACGCACACCCAGCTGGAGCAGATGGTGAAGGTTCTCAAGAGCTTGCCATACTGTCCGACCATGGCGACCCTGGGTTCTAGGTGGAACGATGACGGCGACGATGGTTGAGCTTGGTTTTTCGCTCTCCCGACTCCAAATATATATATATATATTTTTGTTCCGGTCTGCGGTGTGTGAAAGCGTCCTCTTAACCAACGCACGCGTCTGGCGATAAGTAGTGTGCTTCGACGTGTTTGAAGCGCGTTGGCTTTAGTGTCTGTTGCTTACCCCCGCTTCCCCCTTTTGTATTCTAGAACAAACTTTTGTGCCTGTTTGGAACTATGCATACAAGAACCATTCGAATACAAGCGAAAACGTCCCAGTGGGCCCCAGTTTCCAGGTAGAGTGGCAGATTTATCTACGTGTGTGTCAGCCCAGAATACTCACGTCTCTACCCCGTGGGCAGCAGTATACTTCGGTACGTAGCATTATGTTTCTTGTGGTGATTTCGTGCAGCAGGCGGCGCTTTCATGGTCTCTGCTTCCGTCCTTCCCCCTTCCTCCCCCTCCCACCGGGGGGGCGCCGCTGTTGACTCACCGCTTTTCCCCGCCCATCACCCGCTTCACCACTTGCACACAAAAAAAGAGCGCGGCTGTGCATCAACCCCATGGTCGTCGGCGACGGGGTTGCGAAAGACGACGAGCCATCAGATGAAGACGAAGGCGAAGACAACAACGACGACAGCAATGATAGGGGATGGGGGCAGGGGCCCCGTGATGCGGGAGGCGATGGGCGGGGGGGCGGAGGGGGCGTGGCTAGGGGAGGCGGCGGCCGAAGGCGGCGGCGACAGAAACGCAACTCGAACAGTAGCATGCGGGAGTTTTGCCAGGCCCTGCGGTCGAAGGTAAGTAGGTCAGGGTATATACTTACCTACCCGTGATTTTCACCGACGCGTTATTGTTGTTTATCGCCTCGCTTGATTTTGACCCCAAAACAGTGACAAACTTCAACTTCAACAATAACGCGGACAACGTTGGAGCGATTTTTTTTTACCTGTTGCGTGGGTTCCATTTGTTGAAATTCCGTGAACAGCTGGTGCTGGCGTTTGCAAAGTATTCCTTGAGGATAATCGTTTGTTAAGGTTTATGTGCGGGGCCTTATTGGTTTTTGTTTCGCCACTACGCCTCCGTTGCTGCTGTTGATTATTGCTGTACAGGGGCCGTAATTGCCTCTTTCAGTCTTGCTGACTGAGAGCCGCTTCGTCTTGCTGATGACGAGTCTTGAGTAATCGTTTTACTTGTTGCTCTTGCGTTGCTGCCGCTACGCTACTACAGGCGGATAGGCAGAGAAAGCACAACAAATTCCTTAACCTTCCCGGAGGCGGACGGGTCCCCTACGACCAAGATGCCCCCGACCTTACCCTTGACCTCGCCAACATCGAGGGCAGGTATGCACGTGATACGGCGCCCCCGTACTAGCGCCACGCTGCACGGCGCAGTGCTATTTGTCGTCCCTGGCAAAGACCACTCGCTTGGTCATGGAGTATCATCGTCTTCGATGCCCTTGGGAACTGCTGCTGTTGCTGTGTCTCACACCGACGTTTCCGCGCCTGTCCTGCTTTTTGTTAATTATTCGTTTTTTTTAATTGTCTCCTTCTCCATCACCTCGCAGACTGACCGAGAAGGAGAAGGAACACGCAGCGTGCCCCTTCTACCGCTCCATGTCCGCGCCGAAGGTGGCCCGCGCCGCGCACGAGTTTGCCCGGCCGAGGGTGGGCCTTGCCGGCGGCCACGACGGTAAGCCAGGGGGGGGCGGGCCGGGGGGGGGAGGGGGCGGGCGGTGTTGACGTCCCATTCTGTTGCTTTCTGTAAGCTCTGTAGGACTCCTATCCCCGCGTTGTGTTCTTGAAAACTCGGTTGAAATCACGAAACCCATTGTGTACAGTGTGTCATCAGCCAGCAGCAGAATGTACCAACCCTGACCCTGTACCCCCGTCTTTGTATTGTGTGCCATCACCTAGCAGCAGGATGTACCAACCATGCTTACCGTAAATGACACAAGATAATAACCCCCTGGACCGATTTTTAAATCTCGATTTCTCAACAATAGAAAGAGTCACGGCGCCGAAAACGGCGGCGTTGGAACCGTCTCGTCGAGCGCTTTCCAAAAATGTATCGTTGCGTTTATTCATCCTCTTCGTCGTGGAGTAATCGAGCTTTGAAAATCGGTCAAGGGGGTGTGCTATCTTGTGTCATATACGGTAGTCCCTGTTGTATTCAGTAGGCCCAACCATCTGAAGTCCCGTTTGTGGACAACCAGTGCGCCATCACCCAGCAGCAGAGCGTACCGACCCTGTGTAAGTCCCATCTGTGTACCACAGGCACCCACGCCATCGAGGACCTCCGGGCCTTCTGCGGAAACCCGCTGCAGGCGTTGTCCAGCGAAACGAAGGTCAAGGTCAAGGCCGAGGGGCGAGCACGGCAGCACGGTGGATGCGGTAGCGGGCACGGCAGGGGAGTCGCCGGAGGCTGCCGCAGCGGAGGCCACGGCGGCGGCGGAGGTGGCGGCGGGTGCGGCGGCGGATGCGGCAGAAATGGCGGTGAATCATGGAGGGCTACGAATCATTGTGGTGTTGCTGTCGGTGGCGGTGTCGGTGGTGTTGTTGGTGGTGTTGGGGCTGGCGCAGCAGCTTCTCAAGCGTATGTTGATCTGTCGTACGATACTTCGGATGATGATGGCGTGGGGGCTAGAGCGGCGGGATCTGTCGTGGCAGCGGTGGGTTCGGCGGGAAGAGGCACGGGAGTGGACGTGGCCTCACCGGTGGATTCCACAGCAGCAGTAGCAGCGACAGCAGCAGGAGGAGGACAAGGAGGACAAGGCGTGTCGGAGACGAAGGAGGACCAGGCGGATCCCCATTTGCTCGCGTGCCCGTACTACTTGTCCATGGTATGTCTGTCGTTTCTGTCTGTTTTGTCTGTCTGTCTGTCTGTCCATCTGTCTGTCTGTGTGTGTTGCCTGTGTTGCCTGTGTTTCCTGTGTGCGGTGTGAACGAAACGAGTGCGTGAAAATTCAGTCCAGGATGGCGATGGCGCGGACGGGTGATACAGTGTCCCGTCGGACCAGAGAAAGATATCGACCTGCGGGCGGTGCTCGGAAACGGAAGCGTTTTCACCGTTCCCAAGAATGGGACGTTGTCTAGGCGTCATGTTTTGGCCACGTCTTGTGCGAAAGCCACAGCAGACAACGCGCTATTTCTATAGGCTCTTGTTTAGCTTGCAGCCCGCAGTCAGTCGCTCGTGATGCCCACCAACCATCCACCCGCCTCGCCGCATGCTCAATGTCGGTGCCGTGGTTTCGACAGGCACTGGCCAAGCAGGCTCAAATCGTCCTGATGCCCTACAACTACATCCTGGTGAGCGCAATCGGGAGCTCGAAACATGATGAATTTGTTTTTGTTGGGGCTTTTCTGCTTTTTTGTCGCGAAAACATACTCGGGATTTTCTTGTCGTCGTAAAAGGTTTCTATGAGACCTACCAATGTGCATCAGTTGTGCCAGCTGCCAAGACCTCGACCTGCGTGGTATATTGGTGTGCTCCTCTGCTGATTCAGCGCAACCCATTCTTAGGTGGGTAGTATGTGGGGCGTTTGGAGACGGTGCTTACTCCTTTCCTCCCCCCCCCCCCCCCNCCCCCCCCCCCCAAGCGCTCTTAACCCCCCTGCTGTAACACGAGGGCTGGTTAGACACTCAATGGCGAGATTACTCCGGGCATTTGATACCACGTTTGTGTAGGATTGGTAGCCCACCTCCCGTCTAACTTGAGCAGTGCACGGATAAGGGTTTTTCCTTGAGACTATGTTTATCAAGGCCCTTGCTGAAGGCCTGATTACTACTACTTCAGTATCGTGATGCACTCAGCCAATAAGTAACCCAGCTTTCTCGTTCTCGCTCTCACACCCTAGATTCCTTAGGTTGAATTCCTTCTTTTGATGGTAACAGGATGATGATAATCCCCCCGAAACGATATATCGCCTGCCGTGATCTTCGGGACAAAGGTGTACGACTGTTGAAGAATCGAGAGTGATATCTAGACGTGCGTGAGTACCTACTAATACGTGTACCAAGGCGAGAGAAGTGGAGGAAAAAAGAACCCTCCCGGCCTGCGCGCTGCCACTCTCCAAATTCTAGGACCCTTCCATTCGCTCGGCGATGTCGCTCGCGCTGGAGGGGGCCGTGGTGATCCTGGACGAGGCGCACAACGTGGAGGGCGTGTGCAGGGACGCGGGATCGCTTGAGGTGTCACTGCTGGACATGGTGGCCATGGCCTCGGACTTGTGCGATTGCTCCCAGCTGACGGCGTGCAGGTGACATGTTTTTTTTTTTCGGTGGATGTAATATGTGTTTTTTCGATGCAACCATCGTGCTTTTTTGTGTCGTTTGGACTATTCAAATGGTATCCTTAGCTTTTGCGGCTTGGTTGCAGTTGTTGTGATTTTCTTTCTGCTGCTGCGACAGCAGCCATCGTGGTTTATTTGTCCTGTGCGTTTCTGAAGTGGCACTCTTGTTTCTGGTGGCGTCGTTGAAATTCTGTGTTTTCCTTACTGTATTGCTACACATTCCTTGTGCCGCGCTTTGTTTACTCCGTGCCCCAAACTGCCACCGCCACCACGCCACCATCGCCATGACAGTCTCGGTGCAAACCTGCTGCTCGAGTTCGTGATGAAGCTCCTCTACTTCACCTCGAGGGAGTCACTCACCCTGGAGGCCTTCGAGAACGAGACGAATTTCGAAGAACCGCCCTCGGGGGCGAGGAAGAAGCAGCAGGAGGTCATCGTAAGATCCACGTGGGGAGGGCGGGGGGGGGGGGGGGGNGGGGGGGGGGGGGGGGGGGGGGGGGGGGGGGGGGGGGGGGGGCGCTCGGCCGGCAGACGTCGTGTGTTAGGCCGTCAGTTGGGAGTCTCAGCAGAGCGCAGCGAGGTTGTTTGTCCGGCTGCTCCCCGTTGGGCCTTACAGATAACTGGTGCATGCAGGCGACCACACGTTTTTCGAGCCGTTCGGTTGGAACGACGACGGAAGACCATTCGGCGGGCAGAAGCCACAAGGGGCGGTGCCAATACCAACGGCTGCAGCAGCAAAAGCAGAGCTATTTTTATTTTTTATCGAGCCCACGAGTTTCGCCCACGGTTCGGTGGCAGGGGGGCTCATTTGTTTGATGATACCTCCTCATGCACATCGGGCCAGAACACCGCCGTGCTTGCGCTTCTGGTGAGCAGCATCGCCGACGAAGTTCGGGCGCTCCTTAGCGTTAGGGAGCTCTTTGCACACACAATAAGTCCTTGCTTTTGACTTGTCTCTTTCTAGTTTTTGCACGAGGGGGACGGGGGACGGGGGACGGGGGGGCTGTTTTTTCCGCGCTGCTATTTGTGTTCTGGCCGAGAGGGCCGTGCGGTCGGTAAGTACAACACGCTCGCTGATCCAAGTGAAGGTTTCGTCTCCAATGCCCTGTTAATCCGTGTTCCGCATGTGGTATTCCTTCATTCCGGGCTACACCATCCAACCATACTGCTGTGCTGTATCTGGTTGCGGAATACCACATCCTTTCGGCCCACACCCTCTTGAATTACGTGAAAAGACGCCGTCCAACAACAAGTGAACACCTTTCTTTGGACCCAAATGTTGCACATGCGTTTGTATAACCAATCGATGCACCGCCCTTTTCGACCAAACTCATGCACGCCTTTTGTCCACCCGACTTGATGTACGATACCCCCTGCTCGACTAGAAGAAACACTGGGCGTGTGACAGCGCCGGCAGCATGTTCTGGGCGGCGTTCGTCGGGCGGAAGGAGAATGCCAGCACCTCGCATGCTTCTCTGATACGAGTAAGTGGTTGTCGTTGTTGTTGTTGTTATTGTTGTTGTTGTTGTCGTTGTCGTTGTTGTTGTTGTTGTTGTTGTTGTTGTTGTGCTCACTCTTCTATTGATATTGAATTTTTTTCCTTTTATTTCTGCAGGGCGGCTTTTCCTCTTAGCAATGCCTCAACAACTTGCTATTCGCTCTTTCGTTTTTTAGGACGTACACACGGTAGCTTTTGGGGGGGATTGGGTTGTGTCAGCGACATGTTTTTTTTTTTCGCGGTTCCCCTTACCGCAAGAGTCGGAGCGAAGGCCGACGGTCTCAACACGGGATGGGTTAAGGGGGGAGTGCGTTTGCCAAAGTAACCTTCGCTAAGTAGAAGGAGGTGGTGGTGGTGTATTTCCAGGCTCCTGTGTGGGGCACGAATGGCGGCAAGGCTGCGGGCGAGCTCTCAAGGTGGAGTTGGAGGAGGAGGGCAGTAGAGGGAAAAGGCGGGCAGACGTTCGAGCGCATAGACGGATGAGACGTGTGTGTGTTTCTCGAAGATAAGACGCCAACTCCCCCCCCTTTCCCCCTTCCCTCCCCCGCGACTCACGATCGCGTGAAGGCGATGGAGGATATTAAGTTGAGTCTGCAGGAGGAGCCAGAGCCCGCAGGCGGGGCGGGCGGGGAGGGGAAGGGAGACGAGATGATACGGGTGACGATGAAGATGACTCCGGCGCTGAACAACCTGGAGAGGGTCCTCTTCGTGACCGGGCTCGCGCTGAACCATCCCCACGACTACAGCGTCAACGTCATGTCCTGGGACAATGTCGAGAAGCACAAGCTCCCGGCGCACACCAGGTTCGGAAAAATAGTGGAGGTGACGAGGGGGGGGGGGGGGGGGGG